GGTAGTGATGCTGATAATGGCGATGACGATGATGCCAATGATGCCGATGATGACGATGATAATTATGATGCTGGTGGCGTTGCTGTTGCCGATGATGATAACACTGATTTTGAGGATAATGCTGATGTTGATGCTGCTGATGATGCTGATGAGGGTGTTGATGATACCGACGAGGACGATGCTACTGATGATATTGTTGATGATGGTGTTGTTGTTGTTGTTGCTGATGTCGATACTGAGGATGATGCTGATGATTAGCATGAGGTGACATGACGATTATGATGATTTGAATATTATGATTATGATGCTGATACTGCTGATGATGCAGCTAGTGCTGATGATGACGATGCTGAGATCGATGATGATGGCGACGAGGAGTCCGACGATGCTGATGATGCTAATGCAGGTGCTGTTGGTGATGATGGTGATGATGATGATGCTGCTGATGATGATTCATGATGCTGCTGATGATGATGGTAATGCGGATGATGATGCTGATGGCGATGAATATGGTGATGGCGAAGATGATCATGACGCGGATCAAGATGGTGATGAATGCTGCTAATGGTGATGATGTGATGATGATGGTCACTGTGACGATGATGGTGATGCTGGTGATGATTAAGGTTGGGACGATGATGATGCTGCTGACGATGATGATGTGGATGTGGATGTGGATGTTGATGATGATAGTGCTGGTGACGCCGCTGGCGATGAGGTTGATCATGGTGACGATGCTGATGATGATGCTCATGGTGATGATGCCATGATGCTTGTGACTATGATCGCGGTGTTGACGGTGCGAACGCTGATGCTGGTGGTGGTGGTGATGATGATGGTGGCGAGGATTTGATGGCGATCCTGATAATGGTGATGCTGCGGATGATGCTGATGGTGATGTTGATGATGACGATGATACTGGTTATGGTGATGATGCTGCTGCTGCCGAGGATGAGTACGAGGATCATAATCTCGATTATGACTCTGATGAACATGATTCTGGTCATTCGGATGACGATGCCGATGACGATGCTGCTTTTATGCATAGTATTATGCTGTTTCTGATGGTTGTGATGAGTATGGTGATGAGGTTGATGATAATGATGATGATGATGATGATGATGATGATGATGATGATGATGATGATGATGATGATGATGATGATGATGATGATGATGAGAGGCATACTGATGTTGGTGATGATGATGATGACGATGTTGACAATACGACAGCTTATAATGATGATGCTAATGTTCATGCTGCTGATGCTGATGATGATGATTATGATGCTTATGGTGATGATGAGGGTGATGATGATGAGGATGAGGAGGGCGATGTCAGTGATGATGCTGACGATCGTAATGCTAATGCAGATGAGGATGATGCTGATGACGATGCTGATGGTGATGGGGACGCTGCTTACACTGATGGTGACGGTGAATCTGATGATGATGGTGATGCTTGTACTGAGTCTTATGACGATGATGGGGGTGATGAGGATGATGATGGTGATGATCATGCTGATTACAATGGTGATGCGGCTGATGGAGATGATGATGATGATGATGAGGATGCTGATACGGGTGGTGATGATGCTGTTGGTGCAGATGATGATGTTGCGGATGCTGAGGATGATGATGATGATGAGGATGATTGAGACGAGGATGACAATGTCGATGCTGATCAGGATGCTGACGATGATGACGCTGGTGATGTTGACGACGGTACTGATAATAATGATGCTGATGAGGATGATGATGCTGAGGAAGAGTATGATGATGCTGAGGCTGAGTATGCTGATGGTGCTGATGATGCTGACGGTGATGCTGCTGCTGCTGATGATGATGCAGGCGATGTTGAGGCTGATGATCAATGTGATGGTGATGACGATGGTGATGCTAATGCTGCTGGTAGTGATAGATCCGTTGCTGCAGGTGAGGATGATGGTGATAATGAGGTTGATGATGGTCATGGTGATGGTGCTGATGGCGGTGGTGACGATGCTGATAATGATGATGAGTCTGCTGATGATGCTGGTGATGATGCTGATGGATATGTTGATGCTGATGATGGTGCTCATGATGCTGATTATGATGATGATGATGATGATGATGATGATGATGATGATCATGCTGCTGATGATGATGGTGCTGATGATGATGATGACGGTGGTAAGGATTTGGATGAGGGTGAGGCTTCCGATAGCGGGGATGATGATAATGATGTGGATCAAAAGGATGATGTTGCTGATGATGATGATGATGATGCTGATGCTGCTTAGGATGATGCTGCTTATGATGAGGATCGGGATGATGCTGTTTATGGTGCTGCCGATGATGAAACTGGTAATCAGGATGGCGATGATGATGATGATGATGATGATGATGATGATGATGATGGTGTTGACGAGGATGAGGATGAGGAGGACGACGCTAATACTGATTTCGATTGTGGTGATCATGACGATGCTCAAGGTGACGATGGGAATGATGATGAAGCTGCTGATGATGGTGATGATGATGCTGCTGATGATGCCGATGCGGATGAGGATGAGGGTGATGATGATGATAATGCTGCTGAGAATGAGGATACTGATGATGTTGGTGATGATGCCGATGACGTTTACGAGGGTGATTGTGATAATGGTGGCGATGATGATGAATGTGGTCCCGATGATGATGGTGATGATGATGATGCTGATGCAGTTGATGCTAATTTTGATAATGATGAGGAACATGATGATGATGATGATGATGATGATGATGATGGTGGTGCGAATCAGGACGATGCCGATCATGGCGATGATGCTGATGAGGATGATGACGATGTTGCTGACGATGATGAAGACGAGGACGAGGATGATACCGCTAATGTTGATGAAGGTGATGATGTTGATGGTCATAACAATGATGGTGATTATTGTGATGGTTCTGCTGATGCTGACGATGATGATGAGTAGGCTACTGATGATGCTGCTGATAATGATGATGGTGGTGCTGATGATGATGAAGGTGATGCGGATGGTGATGCTGATGTCCATAAGGATGAAAACGCGGATGAGTATGATGATGCCGATTCTGCTTCTGTTGCTGATGATGATGATGATGGTGATGACGGTGGTATCGATGATGACGGCGGTGATGATGATGATGATGATGATGATGATGATGAGGTTGATGATGATGAGGATGATGTTGGTGATGCTGTTGACGATGATGACGAGACCGATACTGATGATGATGACGACGGTGACGACGATGATGATGGTGATGCTGATGAGGATGGCGATGTGGATGATGATGCTGATGCTGTTGATGATGCTGGTGATAATGGGACTGAACATGAGGACACGGGTGACGATTGTGATCAAGATGATGAAGATGAAGATGAAGATGAAGATGAAGATGATGATGCTGCTGATGATGATGATGATAGCAGTGGTGGTGATCATGCTGATAACGATGGTGCTGCCGATGTTGATGCTGATTATGATGCAGCTGTTGTTGATGATGATGCTGATGGCGATGAGGATGAGGGTGATGATGACGAGGATGAGGATAATGCTGCTGATGCTGATGACGATGCCGATCCTGATGATGATGATGATGTTGATGCTGATGCTGATGAGGGTGATGATGACGATGCTGGTGATGATGATGATGTTGATGCTGCTGGTGGTGGTGGGGATGATGATGATACCGAGGAGGATGAGGGTGCTGATGATGGTGGAGGTGATGATTCTAATGACGATGCTGATGGTGATGCTGATGAGGATGGTGATGGTGATGATGTTGATGTGGTTGATGATGAGGATGATGCTGATGATGATGATGCTGATGATTCGGATATATGGAGCTTCTGTTGATGATGCTGCTGAGGACGATGATGATCATGTTGATGCTGATGCCGATCATGATGATGATGGTGATGCTGATGATGATAATCATGGTGATGATGAGACTGATGGTGCTGATGAATTTGAGGCTGCTGATGATGCTGTGGATCATGATGATGAGAATGATGATGGTGAGGATGGGGATGATGATACTGATGATGATGATGACCATGCTGTTTATGATGTTCACGATGGTGACAATGACCATGGTCCTGATGACTATGATGACGATGCCGATCCTGATGATGATGTTGATGCTGATGCTGATGATGATGATGTTGACGACGACGACGAGCGATGATGATGATGATGCTGATGATGATGATGATGATGATGATGATGATGAAAGGAATGATGAAACGGATGCTTCTGATGCTGATGCTGATGATGAGGCTGATGTTGCTGCTGATGATGATAATGCCGATAATGATTCTGATGATGAGGAGGAGGACGAGGATGATGATGATGCTGATGATGCTGATGATGATGACGTTGCTGATGCTGATGATGATGATGATGGTGATAGATGATAACAATGATGCCATAATAGCGATGATGATGACGATGATGATGATGATGATGATGATGGTGATGATGCTGATAATGATTATACTGACGATGGTGATGATGATGCTGATGATGCTTCTGATGATGATGAGGAGGAGGCACATGCTGATGATGATGCTGATGCTGCTGCTTATGATGGTGATGGTGGTGGTTATGATGATGGTGATGATGATGCTGCTGATGATTATGGTGATGATCATGATGATCATGTGGAGGAGGAGGATGTGGCTTGGTGGAAGTCAGTTGGGATCTGCAGCGTGTATTTCTGGGGACATATCGGCGGCTTCTTTTGGGGATCATGTTTGGGGGTTCTTGGAACGGTTTGGAAGTCTTGGACCGCCCAGGGTTTGCAGAAACTCGAAAGTCGGGAACAATAATATTCAACATAATTGAATGATAGTATCGTGAACGATAAGAATGTACAAAACACGGTAAAACGTATAGAAGAAGCAGCGGGGCTCAAATTCGAATTTAGTGTGATTGGTTTTGGGAGGTAGCGCCCCGGATGCTGTCTCGTATGCCGCCCTATCTTCTCCAGGACATAGAGAACATCATCGATGCTATGAAGCAGGTGTACTTCCCCGCAGGCCGTCGGACTGCGCCTGCTGTCTTCACCACGTTGGCGGCCTTGTGTACCCTGTGCGTCTGTGTGTGAGTCTCCCCGGATCCGTGCCGAACTCGCGAATTTTCTGCCCAGGTGCCAGGCCGCTTTCGACTGTCGCACTGCCGTCCATCTTCCTTCGGCGGGCGGCGAGCGAGGGCGGGAAGTGCGAAGGAAAAGGCCTTCTCAGAAGACGGTGGGATTTCTCAGGAGTCCTCGCGCCTTTTGAGAAGTTTTCTGTGCCTTCGGTAAAGGCTTCGGAAACTTTCAGAAGGCTTTGGGACTTCGAGCCTTCTGAAAAAGGCCCGCCCCTTCTTATTTCTCCCCCTCGCTCGCCGCCGATTCCTGGCGCCTCGCGGTTCTGGTTCCCCTGGCGCTTCCCGGACACGATCAGCTTCCTTCCCAGGTTGTCGCCCCGGGCCCCTGTTGTCAGTGCTTAGACAGCCCTAGACCCGGCCAGTCTAGGCTGACTCTGCTGGATGGCCATCTGGCGCTCGCATCTCCGCCAGGTTTGCCGCCCCCGTTTACCAGCCTGGAACATATCCCTATCCCTATGCTGGGCACCTCCTCATCACGATGCCAATCTTAGGGATTCCCTTATTTTTTGAGGGCGAATCCCTGAGATTGTCATCGCCTTTTGGCGTGTCAATCTTGGGGATAGAGATACGTTCGAGGCTGGTAAGTACAAGTATCCTTCCGGACCGCCTGCCGCGGTCGGCTTTGGCACTTGGCAGCACAGCTACACCGAACAAGATGTGGCTGACCTGCTCGCCGCGCTGGCTGACGCCCTCTCTTGCTATCCTCCCCCTGCGGCCGCCTCTTCTCCTCGCTCACCGGCGTCGGTGTGGTCGCGGCATCGGTCCGCATGCTCGCATTTCTTGTGCTGTGCGCGTTCGCTCCTGCTTCTACCCTCTCTGCGACGACTCGTTCGCAAGGGCGCCTGGGACCAGTTGAGCTTGCTTCAGCCTGACCTGGCTTGCCGCTTTTCGGATTCGGCTTGCACTGGTCAATTTAAGGTGGCCGCTTGGACATGTAGTCGCTAGGTTGCCGACGCTAAACATTGTGTGTGTGTATGTGTGTGTGTGTGGGTGAGTGTGCGTGCGTGCGTGCGTGCGTATGTGTGTGTGTGTGTGTGTGTGTGTGCGCGTGGATACGTGTGCGAGTGCATGCGCGCGCGCGCGTGTGTGTGTGTGTGTGTGTGTGTGTGTGTGTGTGTGTTGTCGGCTCCCTGCACAGCTCTTCGGATACATCTCTGCCACCCACGCCGTCGCCTGGGGCGAAGCTCACCCCGACGACCCGGGGCGGGGGCGCACGCGAGCGGGCTCCAGCCGACCCCGGCCGCGCACCGCCCACGCACAGGCTGCAGGCCCAGGCGAGGCGCTGGGCGTCCAGGTGGCGGCCGCCGACGATAGCGGCGACCCCCAGTCCCCGCCCTGCCCCCTCGGAATCGGGGTCTGGCCCGGGCATGGCCAGTTCGGTTGGATTTGGCACGGCCTTCCCCCGCCCGGGTCACGAACCGAACCTGAAGGGGCCGCCCCACCGGCATGGGCTCCTGGAGCCCTGGAGTGCAGGGCGCTCGTGACTGCGAGGGTCCTTGCGGGGAACGAGGCTGCGGGGACGGTCGAACGCCCTGTGTTGAAGAGCTCGACGGCTGATGGGATGTGGAGGCGCCGGCTCGAGAGGCGCTGGCTCGAGAGGCGCCTCAGCCAAGCCTTCCAACCGACAACAGTAGTGGGAGAGCTGCTGCTCGAATCATGATACGTTCCAGGGCTTCCATGGCTTCCAGGATTTCCCAGATGCCCTGCTGCTCCACACGTGCTGCAGAAACGAGGGCCGCCAGATACCCTGGAAATCCCGTCGTCGTGTCTCCCCTCCCCCCCCCTTCCCCCTCTCCCTTTTCCTCCCCTCCCTTCCCGTCGTCGTGTCTCCCGTCCCTCCTCCCGCTGCCCCTCCCCTCCCCTCCCTGCCCGTCTTGTCTCCCGTCCCTCCCTCCGCTGCCCCTCCCCTCCCCTCTCTGCCCGTCGCCGCGTCTGTCCCTCCTTCCGCTGCCTCGCCTCCTCTCTCGTCGCTGGCGCCCGCTCTCCGCACCACCCGGACATGCCTATGCACCCGTGTCTGCGTCGGCCACGCCAGGGCGGCGAGCACGCTCGGAGAGCCTCCAGCACGAGCTCCCCTCGCGGGCGTTCTCTGGCCATGCCGCTCGGGAAACGACCTACTGCAAGAGTTGGTGTTAAGTCGGGCCCTAATATAGTCTGGGGACGATCTTTTGGAGCATTTTTGGATATTTGATGAAAGTATTGGTGGACTATTTTTTCAGTTGTCCTTCAAAGTCCGCCTGTAGTGGGACATGCCCGACCCAAACCTGCTGCAAGATCTGGTGCCAGATGCTCGGGTTGGACGTGCGTTTCCAGCAGAGGCACATCGTGCTAGTACGCCCTCCTTCGTCCCATGCTCCTCTCCCCTCCCTTCGCCTGGCCGCGAGGCCTCCCGTCCGCGGTTCCGCTTCCTGTGCGGCGCCGGGGCCCCGCGCTGTTTTTCTTGTCCTTCTTCGGGCCTGTTGATGGTGACCCTGGGCCCCGAGCCTGCTGGAATATATTTCTGGACCTTAGTGGTCTTGCCTTTTCCTTTCCCCCATCTTTTTGGACACACATATATACATATATATATATATATATATATATATATATATATACATGTACATGTACATGTACATGTACATGCACATGTATGTATGTATGCCATGTATGTATGCGTGCATGTATGTGTATGTATGTATCTGGGTATGTATGTATGTGTGTATGTATGTGGGTATGCATGTATGTGTGTATGTGTGTATGCATGTATGTATGTATGTATGCATGTACGTACGTATGTATGCATGCATGCATGTATGTAGGTATGTATGAATGTATGTATGTATGTAGGTATGTAGACATGTAGATATGTAGGTATGTATGTACATGTATATATACATGTATATGTATATGTTTATGTACATGCAGATATATATGTATATGTATATGTATATGTATATGTATATGTATAGGTATACGTATAGATATATGTATATGTATATGTGTATGTATATGTATATGTTTATACACATGTGCATGTATAGGTATATGTAGTTGTATTCGTATTTGTATTTGTGTATGTGCATGTATACGTATATATGTACATGCATATGTATATGTACATGTATATGTTTATGTATATATATACGTATATACATATATATATATATATATATATATATATATATAGGTGTATGTGTATGCTCATGTATGTGTATTATACATGTACAACATATATATATTATATATATATATATATATATAATATATATATCTATATATGTATGCTTCACCCCTCCGGTTGTCTCCACGTCGTGGTGCTTCCGCGGACTGCCGATCCGATCCGATTCTCTCGCCCATCCGCTCCTCCGCCTGCCTCCCGTCCCCGTCTGCCGTCGCTGCTCGGCCCCAGCGAGGCCACGCCGCCCCGGGTCCCCACGCGGGCCCACCGCGTCCCTCCCGCTGTGCGGGTCTCGCGCGTGCCCCCGGGCGCCCGCTGCGCGCGTGCCTGAGAGCCGGTGTCCAGGTCCCGCAGGGCCCGCTCGGCCCTCCTCGTTCACGTGCTGTGTTACTGTCGCCCGACGGGTGCTCTCTCTCTCTCTCTCTTTCTTTCTCGCTCTCTCTCTCTTCTCTCGTCTCTCTTACATTTCACGCACTGAGCACGTGTGTGGTTCCCCACATCCAAAGTGGGGTTCTTGTTTTCTCTGGACACCCCGCGCAGGAACAGGAACACACACACACCCACTCACACTCACTCACACTCTCTCATCATCAACCTCATCAGCATCATCGATGATGCTCTCTCACATGCTTAGTCACTCACATACTCATCATCATCATCACTCGCACTCTCTCACACGCTCATGAACATCATCATCATCATCATCATCGGCATCGGCATCATCCTCATTCAAACATCATCATCGCCACCACCACTCACAATCAATCATCATCCTCTTCACCACTCATCTTCACCACCACTCATCATCCTCATCCTCATCATCGTTGAGTAAATTGTGAGGAAGTCTCAGGCGGGAGCCCCCTCCCTATGGGGCCCGCAGATCATGTTGGTAATCCGAGCGGGTCATCGGAATCCTGTAACTGTCGTCACTTTTGAGCTCCCCAGGCCTGAAAATGGAGGAAGTCTCAGGCGGGAGCCTCGTCTGTGAGTGAATTGGGAGGAAGTCTCAGGCGGGAGCTCCCTCCCTATGGGGCCCGCAGATCATGTTGGTAATCCGAGCGGGTCATCGGAATCCTGTAACTGTCGTCACTTTTGGGCTCCTCAAGCCTGAATTTGGAGGAAGTCTCAGGCGGGAGCCTCGTCTGTGAGTGAATTGTGAGGAAGTCTCAGGCGGGAGCCCCCTCCCTATGGGGCCCGCAGATCATGTTGGTAATCCGAGCGGGTCATCGGAATCCTGTAACTGTCGTCACTTTTGAGCTCCCCAGGCCTGAAAATGGAGGAAGTCTCAGGCGGGAGCCTCGTCTGTGAGTGAATTGGGAGGAAGTCTCAGGCGGGAGCTCCCTCCCTATGGGGCCCGCAGATCATGTTGGTAATCCGAGCGGGTCATCGGAACCTGTAACTGTCGTCACTTTTGGGCTCCTCAAGCCTGAATTTGGAGGAAGTCTCAGGCGGGAGCCTCGTCTGTGAGTGAATTCTGAGGAAGGCTCAGGCGGGAGCCCCCTCCCTATGGGGCCCGCAGATCATGTTGGTAATCCGAGCGGGTCATCGGAACCCTGTAACTGTCGTCACTTTTGGGCTCGTCAAGCCTGAATTTGGAGGAAGTCTCAGGCGGGAGCCTCGTCTGTGAGTGAATTGTGAGGAAGTCTCAGGCGGGAGCTCCCTATGGGGCCCGCAGATCATGTTGGTAATCCGAGCGGGTCATCGGAACCCTGTAACTGTCGTCACTTTTGGGCTCCTCAAGCCTGAATATGGAGGAAGTCTCAGGCGGTTTTGTCCAGGGCGGAGGCGAAGCAGCTCGCGGCAGAGCTGGGCTTCGTGCTGCCTTCCGCCTGAGCGCGGCTGCGCCTCGCTCGAAGCCCGCGGGGTTGTCCCAACGGCTTGGTCTTGCGCGCCAGCGGCTCGCGGGGTTGTCCCGACAGCCTGGCCCGCGGGGTTGTCCCAACGGCTGCGCGACGTGACCAGTAGAGAACGCGCCTGTGCTGGCCGTGGCGGCGACGGCGCCGAGGAACATCGACATGCGCGCTCATGCAACAGGAAGGGGAGGAGGTGGCGGGGCGCGGAACAAACAGGGGGGCGAGGATGGGGACAACGTAAGGAGTGGAAGGGGGGCCCGCGCCAAGGCGACAGGAAATATACGCAGAAGAGACAGCCAGGACGCCTCACCAACCACGAGGACGACGGTGATTTTTTTTTTTTTTTTTTTTTTTTTTTTTTTTTTTTTTCCAGATTCGCCCAGAGGATTCTTATGTGGGGTTCTTCCGTCGGAGTAATTGTGTCATTTTTTGGCGTGGTTGGTTTCAAGCGTTTTGCATTCCATGTGCTGCAAAGCCACGGGCACTTGCACAGCGTGAGCCGTCTACTTGTTGCTGCCGTATCCCGCCTCTGCATTCACGAGACAAGACGAGAGAAGATGCCCCTGCCGAGTCCTGTCTGATCTTCTCGTTCCTCTGCCGCTCCTCCTGCTCCCGCTCCTCCTCGAATTCCTCCAATTCCTCCTCCTTCCGCTCCTCCTCATTCTCCTCTTCCTCCTCCTTCATTGCCCCTCGAGTTCCTCTACTGCTCGATGGGCTTGCGCGGCTCCAGGTCACGTGATCATCCAGCAAGGGGACCCTGGCGAGCATTTCTTTTTCGTCTATAGTGGTCAGGTCTCCGAGGGGAGGACGGGTGAGGGATGATGCACGGTGTAAGGAGGGCGAGGGGTTCGATTCTTGTAAGCCGGTCGCAGGTTACTGCTTCAGTCGTGACGTGAACGCGATGGGCTTGTGCCCGACCCGCGAGAAAGAGAAAAACGGACCAGGCCCCCTCCAATCCCAGATGCATCCATCATCCACGACCTCGTCGTTGAGCGGTGGCATAAGCACGAAACTGTGCTCAGTCACGATGCTCGCAGAGAGACAGGGCACCGCAGCCAACATATCACATCATAAACGCGGCCCCATACACGCTTGCTCAAAACAATGAAACTAAACAGAGCCCTTGACCACTTGATTGCAGCGAGGGAGGCTCGACCACCCGACGGGCTGGTGCCAAGCTGGGCCAGTTGGGGAAGCATGAGCGAAAGGGGGCCAGGGTGGAGCGCACTGACCCAGCGCACGTACTGAAGCGCTGGGATATTGGAGCTAGGACTCCCTGGACTAAGCGGCCACGGACAGACTGGTGCCGAGAACGCGAACCTGCAGACAAGCAACGGACCGCCGACCAGGGGGGAGATCGGGGACCGAAAAAGCATGGGCGCAGGCAGGGTGGTGGTGACATACAACACGGAGACCTGATGCTCTGCACTGCGCTGCGACTGCGCAGAAGACGCGCACTGAGACCAGACCGACCAAGGCAGCAGAAAATATAAAGATCGCCTGGAGTAGTCGACGCACAAGGCCGACGCTCCAAAGCGGGCGGGGCGGGGGCGACCTATCAAGAGGGCAGGGACACATGTACTGTATGCCAGAACTTGCACTGCGTGGCATCGTTGCTGGGTTTTTGCCTCCCTGGCTCGGCGGGACGCGTTACCCTGGGAGCGTAACTGGGGTACTGCCAGCCTGGTTTGGTGGAAGCGTTATCCCGGCAGCTTTGCCTTTGTCGGGGTGCTTCTTCCCTGGCAGGTTGCAGGGGAACCGTTTCCCTGGCAGTGTTGCTGTTGCTGGGGTATTGCTTCCCTGGCTGGGGTGGGTGGAGGCGTCGCTCTGGCAGCGTTGCCGTGGTACTGCTACCCGACTGGTGCGGAAGCGTTGCCCCGGCAGCGATGCTGGGGTACAGCCTGCCCGACTGGGGCGGGGAGCGTCACCCTGGCAGCTCTGCTGGGGTAATGCCTCCCTGGCTGCGGTGGACGCGGCCAGCCTCGCTGTGGGCACCGCTTCCCTGGCTGGGGGGAGCGTTGCCCCAGCAGCACTGCCGGGGTGCTGCTTCCCTGACTGGGGGCGAGGTGCGATCTCGGCAGCGCTGCCCCTCGCCTGCCCCTCCTTTGGTCGCCCCCACTCGCTTGCTCCATGTTGTGTGCGTATCTAGGATCAGATCAAACTCCATGGTGACATACATATATATATATATATATATATATATATATATATATATATATATATATAATATATATATATATATATACATGCACACATCTATACATCTATACATACATACATACATACATACATCCATCCATCCATCCATGCATGCATGCATGCATACACACATACATACATATATACATGTATATGGTGGCCTGCGTGGGCCCCACAAAGTGTGTCTCTAGCAACATGGGTCGTACAATATTGGTTGTGCAATCTATGTGATGCTACCTATACTGTGGAACTCATGCAGATCCAGATTAGATGGTGCAGCATATGTCGTGCAATGTGTGTTGTGCACTATCTGTGCGTCACATTATGCAGTGTAACACATTTAGTGCAGTCGATGTTGTTAGCAATCAAAAAGCGCGTCGCAGGTGCCGAGAAACAAATCGTGCAATCTATGTGCTGCAGTCTATGTGGGGCAATCCATGTGGTGCAATCTATGTGGTTCAATCTCTGCGGTGCAATGCATCTGTTTCAGTTGTGTGGTATATGTTGTGCAGACAAAGATAATGTGCAATGTGTGTTGTGCCATCTGTGTGGTGGTGGTGCAATCTATGTCGTGCAGCATATGCAGTGCAACCAATGCTGTAAGCGATTACAAAGCGCGCCGCATGCGCGAACAACAAATCGTGCAATCTATGTGCTGCAATTCTGGTGGGGCAGGCAATCTACGGTGTAAGTAATTTAAATTCGCAGTGAGTTGTCAACTCCATTGCTCGCGCAACCATCGCACCCACCCACCCACAATTTGGTTTGGAAACCCATGCGGCGGCGTTAACGATGAGTGCTTGGTGTTGGCTGGTGCATCTCTGCGGCCGCGCTAGCCCTCGCGTGCTCGCGCGCGCAGCGGCCAGCTAGTTTGGCGCGACCGACGCGGCCGCGGTGGCGCTGACCGCTAGGCACATCCCAGCGGGCACTTCACTGCGAGTCGGTGGCTTGGGCGGGCGCAGTATCATGGCAACGTCGGCAGCAGTAAACGCGATGATGATCGTAGTGGTGCTGGCAACGAAGGTGGCAACGGCGACGGCACGGCCAGAGACGGCGCCGATGCTGATCACGCCGACGACGATGACGGCGTCCTCGCGTCGGTGATGAAGGTCCCGGAAGGAGTTCGACATGCGCGCGCGGCCGACGCGCGAGAGTTGCCCGTTTGATATTGTTTGACACGGATCGTGCCCCCCCCCAGCACGCGCGCAAGGTCGTGCGTCTGATTTCGGCATGCGGCGCGAAAAGGCCCATTTGGCAGAATTCAATGGAACTGTGAAAGGCCGGAGGTTTTTCTTTGTTGTAAGAATTGGCAAGGTCGCCAACGCAGGCATTTTTTGAAGACTTACGCCTAAGGTTTTTGATGAATTGCGGCATGCGCGCGCGACGACGCGCGCGAGTGTCTTTCGCCCCATTTGTTGCAACAGGTGGTTCTTGCGACACCACGGGCGCAAAGGCGTTCGAACGATTCCGACATGCGCGCGCGAAACCCATTTTGCAGCATCTTATGTCCATGCTGAAAAAGTCCTTATGGTTTTCTTGAGACTTCGCAAAAGCGCGAGCGCAAACTTTGCTTGATCACCCTTCTAGCCAAGCCGTGTGTTTTTTAGATGCTTTTGGGGCCATTCCGTTTTGGAGTCCTTACATTCCTTACATCACCTGCGGTTTATGAGCGTTTTCGGCTTTCGCGCGCGACGATGCGCGCGTGTGCATGTCGTCCCGATTTTTGCAAAAAGGATAATCGAACCGTTGTTTTTTGTGATAATGATTGCGCGCGCATAGTATATTTTGCAGAGGATGACGGGAACGGGGGCCGGTACCGGCTTGGCTGGGATGATATGAGTTCATACTTCGGTTGGAGGATGGGGCATCGTATGTGACTTGCAATGCGGAAAAAAAGAGGTACGGAGAATCCCGGGGTGGGGGTCGAATTTCATTTGTTGAGAACATGTATATGGTCCAATTAAGGTTTTGCAACCCTTGTGGTTGTGCAACTTCTATTGTGCAATTGTATGTAGTGCAACCTGTGTGGTGCAATTTGGGTTGTGCCATACGGTGCGATCTACGTGATTGTGCAATATCGGTTGTGCCATCTTGGTGCTGCGATCTATGCTGTGCAGCATATGTGGTGCAAATTATGTTGCGAGCAACGAGACGCGCGCCGCAGGCGCGGGTTTTCCGTGCGATGTATCTGGTGCAATCTAATGGCAGCGACGGGCGGCGATGCGGCGGCGACGTGTCGATGACGGCGGCCACGTAACCACCAGACCGAAGATGCGACCCACGCGACAGGCGGCGACGAGGCGGCGACGGGGCGGCGACGGCGGCCACATAGTCGCCAGACAGAAAATACGGCCCAGACGACGGGCGGCGACGAGGCGGCGACGGGGCAGCGGCGGCGGTGGCCACATTGCCGCCAGACGAAAAACCGTCCAGCTCCTAACAAAAGTGCGGAGTCCCAAGTGCAAACACTGTTGGGGAAAATCTATGTTAGCCAGCGTGAACCCCAAACACATTGTTTTTAACAATGCAGGCTGGGCAATCTATGTGAAGTAGTATACCTGGTCCAGTTTACGTGGAGCAGCTTTTTGTGGTGTGGTCCATGTCGTGCAATATGTGTGGTGCAAGTCACCCTGCCGAACGTGAAGTTGTGAACTCCAGTGCTCGCGCAGTCATCCCACAGATCCGCAATTTGGTCTGCAAAACCCATTCGGCGGCGATTGCGATGACTGCTTGGCGCTGGCTGGCGCGTCGCCGCGGCCGCGCTAACGTTCGGGCTTGCGCGCAGGGCGGCCGGATAGTGTGGCGCGACCGACGCGGCCGCGGTGGCGCTGAGTGTTGTGGAGTTCCCAGCGCGTCTCGCAGGCCGCGCCGGCGCGCGGGCACTTTACTGCGAGTCGGTGGGTCGGGCGGGCTCTGTATCATGGCGGCGTCGGCAACGACAGGCGCGACGATGTTTGTAGCAATGCTGGTGGCAACGGCGACTATGACGGTGACGGCGGCACAACCGAAGGCGGCGCAGATGTTGACCATGCCAATGACGATGGTGTTCACGCGTCGGTGATGGAGGTTGCGGAGTGATCTCAGCATGCGCGCGCGGCTGACGGGCGCGAGTGGCCCGCGTGGTAATATTTGACGGGGGTCGTGCCCCCAGCGCGCGCGCAAGGGCGTTCGACCGACTTCGACATGCCCGCGCGAGAGGCCCGTTTGGTCGCATCGGGGGGGGGCGTGGCTGATTGAAAACGACGGATTCGTAAGAGCGCCCGCGGTCCCCTTTTTGGTTGTGCAATGCTGCATTTTTGGTTCTTTTCATTTTTTCGATGTTTTCGGGGCGTTCGATTTTGACGTCTTTGCGAAACCTCGGGTTTTCAAAGGATTTCGGCATGCGCGCGACGACGCGCGCGTGTGCGCATCATCCCTTTTTTTGGCAAGGGATTGTTGCAAAGGGGTGGGTTTTGGACAACGAGTGTGCGTTTTTTTTTTTTTTTTTTTTTTTTTTTTTTTTTTTTTTTTTTTTTTTTTTTTTTTTTTTTTTTTTTTTTTTTTTTTTTTTTTTTTTTTTTTTTTTTTTTTTTTTTTTTTTTCCCCCCCCTATA